TAATTGTTCTAACTGTCAGGAAGTTTCTCCTTAGTTCTAGGCTGCTTCTCTCCCTGATTAGTTTCCATCCGTTGCTTCTTGTCCTGCCTTCAGGTGCTTTGGAGAATAGCTTGACTCCCTCTTCGTTGGGGCAGCCCCTGAGATATTGGAAGACTGCTATCATGTCCCCCCTGGTCCTTCTCTTCATTAGACTAGACATCCCCAATTCCAGCAGCCGTTCCTTATATCTTTTAGCCTCCAGTGCCCTGATTATCTTTGTTGCTCATGGTGGAGAAGGAAGAATTGCCCTTTGCGAAGCCTGAATTGCAAGGAACACCCAGGTCATTTTTTTCCCTCTAACACTTCACCATTTTTTTCAGTCTATGATTTTGAATCTGCCATGCTTTCCTCCAAATTTAGATTAAATTTGAACTCTGGCATTTTTTGGCTTAGAAGGATTATATTCCTTTATTCCTTTATTTATTCTGCAAAAGTACCATTCCTTCTTACAATTTCTTTACATATCAGTACTGCTGTTGTTATCTCTTCTCATCCTCATATGATATCCATTTCTCTTTTACAGGCAATGAGAAAACAGAGCATCAAATACAAGTTACCCAAGACTTCAGATATCTGTTCAAAATATGTAGGTAGTCCTTGACTTACAACAGTTCATTTAGTGATGGTTCGAAGTTACAACAGCACTGAAAAAAGTGACTTACGGCCATTTGTCACACTTAAAACCATTACGGCAGCCCCATGGGCATGTGATCAAAATTCAGATACTTGGCAACTGACTCATATTTATGACATTTGCAATATCCCAGGGTCACATGATCCCCTTTTGTGAACTTCTGTCAAGCAAAGTCAATGGGCCAGCCAGATTCACTTAACAACCATGTTACTAATTTATCAACTGCAGTGATTCCCTTAACAACGGTGGCAAGAAAGGTCGTAAAAAGGGGCAAAACTCATTTAACAAATGTCTCACTTAGCAACATAAATTTTGGGCTTAATTGTGGTTGTAAGTCAAGGACTACCTATAATGTACTCTCTTTGTAGAATAAATTAGCTTTTAGTTGTCAATGCCTCTGGATATTAATGTCATAATTATGTAGGGCTCATATGGATTTATGAGAAGCAGACATTTTTTTCACATCTCATTTAATTTTGGGAGATAAGGAATAAAAGAATCATTAATTCATATCAGTGATCATTAAGCCTAAATCACAAAATGAGGAGGGCACAAAATACTGTCTTTAAGTCCTGAGTTTTTTTTTTACTGATGCTACACATGACCATATCCAAAAATTGTCGCAAGACTTCATTTTAACCAGAAATGCTTTCTTATTCATAAAATTGGCATATAAATACCTAAGGAATGGGCATTCATAAGAAATGGATAAATCCTTTTATCCCATCATTATCCTTGTGTGTGTGTGTGTGTGTGTGTGTGTGTGTGTGTGTGTGTATGCATGAATATATGTATGTATGTATTGCCTACTAGATTAGAATTCACTTCTGGACTTCATCTCATATTTATACAGGTCCTGGCAAAATTTATGCAAAGTCAACAAGACTTTCACTTTCTATTTAAACTGACAGTCACCTTCTTCAGTCTCATTTCAAAACACATCCCTCCAAACCACTACACAATGACACCCCATTTCTTAACTCTCATCATGCTGGCTGCCTTCTCCAAAGGTCTGTAATTTGGTCCATACTAATCTTTTTCTAGCAGTCAAGGAAATTTCATGTCTTAATTATCGCTCTTACTTTCTAACTGATATCCAATTGTGTGTTGTCTTTTCTCATTAGGAGGCTTCTCCCAGGTAGTCCTGACCCAGTCAGATCCAGTGCTGAAGAAACCCGGAGAAGCCAATAAACTGACTTGTGCTGCCACTGGATTCAATGTTAACAGCTACAATATGTATTGGATCAGACAGAAACCTGGCCAAGGATTGGAATGGATTGTTTACTATTATTCATCTAGTGACAATGCTTATTCGCCAACAATCCAAGGACGATTTACTGCCTCCAAAGACAGTTCCAACCTCTATCTGCAAATGAACAACCTAAAAGCTGAGGACACGGCTGTCTATTACTGTGCAAGAGACACAGTGAAATAGATCTTAAGGGATCTCCTGCAAAAACCTTTCCTTTAATTACTGAAATGTCTCCAGAGGTGGCACCAGAGAACCACAAAATGAGTTGTCTACCATCTGGAACAGAATTATCCAAGCTAAGAAGAGATGGAAATGAAAAGGCAAAACAAAAATAGCCCAAAAGATAATATTACTCCATATTTAATGTGGCTGAACATCTTTCACTTATTGATTTGTAACAAATTGGCTCTGGTGTCCTCCTCCTCCTCTTCTTTTTTTCTTTGTTCTTTCTTTTTCTTCCTTCACCAGATGACATCTCCATGTCTGCTGTTTCCCTCTTCAAGGATTCATTTCAGAAGGATTCCTGGCATTTCTTCCATGAGAAGCCATATTTGTCATTAAATGTTTTGACTGGTATGGGATTTCCTTTCCTGCTGTTTTCCTAAGTCAGGTTATATTTTGAAAAGATACAGTGGACATAACCAATATAAAGAAGAGCCAGGCAGCTGTGAACTATAGCTCTCTTTTCTCAATATAAAAACCAACCAAAACAAACAAACAAACCCAAAAAACTGAAATAGCAAAATCTTCCCAGTCTGATCCTGCTATACTTCTCATCCTCCTTACACCCTAGGGAAACGGAGGGGGTACTTGTCTGAATTGTTTTCTGAATATTTGATGATCAATCCTGATCCTCAAAATACCTTTCAGCTCCATTTCCCATTGTGACAGGTTTTGTCTAATTCTATCAAAGTGACATTTGTATTGATACTTTCATTGCTTCTTCTTTGCAAATTTTCCTCATTTTTAGATTAAGTGACTGCATCAGTATCCAGTTGTTCTCAGACCTCCAAGTTAGACAGATTAGGAAACCAAAGCCATGTAGAACAATACTGGTTTTGTTAGAAGGATATAGCAATAGTGTCTTTCAAATCCCAAAGCTTTTGCCCCACCCTCCTTTTAGCTTTGTGCGATGGAGGGGGGTGGGTTTGCCTGAGATGTTTTCTCAGGTGACACTTCTGGAACCAGACTCAGGTTTCTTTTCTCTGATTCTTATCCTGTTAGTAGCTCCTCTTCCTACCATTCAAGACCATTTCCTTCACCCTCTGCAGTTGGATTACTGTATAGTACTCTGCCTGGGACAGCCCTTGAATTTCTAATCTGAATTGCTCCAGAATGGAGAGGGATGGGAAGTTTGGGCAATATAAAACATCTGATCTCCGACTACCACTTCTAAGTGACCAAATGTTGTTTGAATTCTTTCCAGTCAAGCAGATACTTCTACTTACGACAGCATTGACTTACTACCAAAATTATGGTCCAAATTATGGTCAAAAGGTGAGGACTGCCTGCATTCAGATACACTCCACCTTTTTTGTGAAAAAAAAATATTCTACTAGATTTCTAAACAGTCCTGGACTTCATCTCAAATTTATACAGGTCTCAGCAAATTTTATGCAAAACCAAGATGACTTTCACTTCCTATTTAAACACTCATTATCCTTCTTCAGGCTACCTCAAGGTGCAAAAGTCATCCCTCTAAATTTCTCCACAATGACACCCTACTTCTTGAGTCTCATTATGCTGGCTGCCTTCTCCAAAGGTCTGTAATTTGGTCCATATTAAGCTTTTTCCAGCACTAAGGGAAATTTCATATCTTAATTATAGCTCTTACTTTCTAACTGTTACCCAATTGTGTGTTGTCTTTTCTCATTAGGAGGCCTCTCCCAGGGAGTTCTGACCCAGTCAGATCCAGTGCTGAAGAAACCCGGAGAAGCCCATAAACTAACTTGCGCTGTCACAGGATTCAATGTTAACAGCTACTGGATGAGTTGGATCAGACAGAAACCTGGCCAAGGACTGGAATCGCTTGTATATCATCTCTCATCTAGTAGCAACTATTATTCGCCAACAATCCAAGGACGATTTACTGCCTCCAAAGACAGTTCCAACTTCTATCTGCAAATGAACAACCTAAAAGCTGAGGACACAGCTGTCTATTACTGTGCAAGAGACACAGTGAAATAGATCTTAAGGGATCTCCTGCAAAAACCTTTCCTTTAATTACTGAAATGTCTCCAGAGGCGGCACCAGAGAACCACAAAATGAGTTCTCTATCATCTGGAACAGAATCAGCCAAGCCAAGAAGAGATGGAAATGAAAAGGCAAAACAAAAATAGCCCAAAAGATAATATTACTCCATATTTAATGTGGCTGAACATCTTTCACTTATTGATTTCTAACAAATTTGCTCTGGTGCCCTCCTCCTCCTCTTCTTCTTTTCTTCTTTGTTCTTTCTTTTTCTATCTTTGCCAGAAGACATCTCCAAGTCTGCTGTTTCCCTCTTCAAGGATTCATTTCAGAAGGATCCCTGGGATTTCTTCCATGAGAACCCATTTTTGTCATTAAATGTTTTGACTGGTATGGGATTTCCTCTCCTGCTGTTTTCCCAAGTCAAGTTATACTTTGAAAAGATAAAGTGGACATAACCAATATAAAAAAGAGACAGGCAGCTGTGAACTATAGCTCTCTATAGTTCACAGCTGCCAGAATGGAGAGGATGGGAAGTTTGGGCAATATAAAACATCTGAAATCTTGGTTTCACTGACTACCACTTCTAAGTGACCAAATGTTGTTTGAATTGTTTCCAGTCAAGCGGATGCTTCTACTTATGACAGCATTGACTTACTACCAAAATTATGGTCCAAATTGTGGTCAAAGGTTGGGGACTGCCTGCATTCAGATACACTCCATCTTCTTTGTGAAAAAAAAATTAGTCTACTAGATTTCTATACACTCCTGGACTTCATCTCATATTTATACAGGTCTCAGCAGAATTTATGCAAAACCAAGATGACTTTCACTTCCTATTTAAACACTCATTATCCTTCTTCAGGCTACCTCAAGGTGCAAAAGTCATCCCTCTAAATTTCTCCACAATGACACCCTACTTTTTGAGTCTCATTATGCTGGCTGCCTTCTCCAAAGGTCTCTAATTTGGTCCATACTAAGCTTTTTCCAGCACTAAAGGAAATTTCATATCTTAATTATGGCTCTTACTTTCTAACTGTTACCCAATTGTGTGTTGTCTTTTCTCATTAGGAGTCCTCTCCCAGGTAGTCCTGACCCAGTCAGATCCAGTGCTGAAGAAACCCGGAGAAGCCCATAAACTGACTTGCGCTGTCACTGGATTCGATGTTAACAGCTACACTATGTATTGGATCAGACAGAAACCTGGCCAAGGGCTGGAATGGATTGTTTACTATTATTCATCTAGTAGCAATGCTTATTCGCCAACAATCCAAGGACGATTTACTGCCTCCAAGGACAGTTCCAACTTCTATCTGCAAATGAACAACCTAAAAGCTGAGGACACGGCTGTCTATTACTGTGCAAGAGACACAGTGAAATAGATCTTAAGGGATCTCAAGCAAAAACCTTTCTTTAAATAACAAGTGAAATGTCTCGTGAGGGATTCACATGAGTTGTGAATCATCTGAAACAAAATCACCCAGGCAGAAAAGAGATGAAACAAAAAGGCGAAACAATTATACTCCCAAAGATATTATTACTCCATATTTATTGTGGTTGAATATCTTTCACTTATTTGTTTCTAAATATTTTGCTGTGGTTTCAGGTTCTTCTTCTGCCAGGGCCAGATGACACCTGAAAATGTCTTCCCTTCCCTCTTCAGGGATTCAGTTCAGAAAGATTCCTGGGATTTCTTCCATGAAAGGCCAAATTCTCCATTAGGTGTTTTGAATTGTATGGAATTTCATGTCCTGCTGTTTTTCTCAAATCAATTTCTATTTTGAGAATATCTGCTAGACCCAACAAAGTATAAACTAAAGGCAGGCAGTGTGAATTCTAGCTCTTTTTTAGGATTGCAAAGGAAAGAGTCAGCTAAAATAGCACAATCTTGCAAATCGGATTCTGCTGTACTTCCCATCATTCTTATACCTCAATCAATCCGCAGGGTAGTTGTCTGAATTGTCTCTTAATATTATCTGGCAATTCTGGTCCTCAAAATATGTTTTGGCTCCCTTTTTGTGTAATTCTGTCAAAGTCATCTTTGCATTTACATTTGCATTGTTTCTTCTTTGCAAACTGTTTTCATTTCAGGATCAAGTGACTCCATCAGCTTCCAGTTGTTGTCAGACCTTCAAGCTAGACCAGACTTGGAAACCAAAGCCATATAGAGCAATATGGATGTTATTATGAAGACATGGTAGTAGTGCCTTTCAAGCCTCAATGTGCTTGCCCCATCTTTCTTTCTGACCCAAACTCAGGTTTCTTTTCTCCCACTGTTATCCTGGTAGTGGCTCTTTCTCTTTTCCCGCAGGACCATTTCCATAGCCATCTGCAGTTGGATTACTGTAAAGTACTCTGCCTGGGACTGCTTTGGCAGATGATTTCTAATCTGCATCAGTCGAGAATGTGGATGGATAGACAGTTTGGGTGTTATAAAACTTCTAATCTATGAGTTGTCTGAAATCCCACTTCACAGTGCTGGTTGTCAGCTGTACATCTCTACATGCCATAGGGCCAGTTTACCTGCATGGCTTCATTCTCTCTGATTATTTCTTAATGCTCGGTAGATCTGGCTGCAAAGGTGATGTTGGTCGGTGATGTTGTTCACTATTTGCAATCCTTTCTCTTTTTTTCAAGGGGTCTTCTCAGAGATTCAGCTTGTAGGACCTGGTCCAGGATTGGTGAGACCTGGAAGTCAACTCAACCTAGTTTGTAAAGTCACAGGTTTCTCCATTGCTACTTCTTCATCTTATGCTTGGCATTGGGTCAGGCAACCATCTGGGAAAGGTCTCGAATGGCTTGCATCCATAAATGTCAATAATGGAGGCAAGTGGTATGGAAACTCTGTAAAAGGTTGTGCCACCATTTCTGCAGATCAGTCCAGGAACGAGTTCTCCCTCCAACTGAATTCAGTCTTAGCTGCAGACTCATCTGTGTATTTCTGTGCCCGAGAATACACATTGAAACAACCTCTATTTGGACTCTGTACAAAAAAAGAGAAAATTGTTTTCATAAAGTGTAATGCCAAGCAGATGGAGAGGGGGAGAGAGGAGGAGGAGCAGGAGGAGGAGGAGACAAAGAGATACAGAGAGACAAAGAGACAGAGACAGAGATAGATAGATAGATAGATAGATAGATAGATAGATAGATAGATAGATAGATAGATAGATAGATAGATAGATAGATAGATAGATAGATAGATAGAGAGACAGAGGGAGAAATATGATATCGATGTTCTGGAAGAAGATCATTAGATGCTTTAGTTATTAAAGCGTTACTGATCTCCCTTACCATCACCACTTTTATTGTTTTTGTCTTTCTTCTGAAATAGATGGGAGGACACTGAATGGCCATCATTGGAATTGTACAAAGCATCTAAGGTTGAGGACTGTCTGCATTCAGATACACTCCATCTTCTTTGTAAAAAAAAAATAGTCTACTAGATTTCTATACACTCCTGGAATTCATCTCATATTTATACAAGTCTCAGCAAATTTTATGCAAAACCAAGATGACTTTCACTTCTTATTTAAACACTCATTCGCCTAATTCAGGCTACCTCAAGGTGCAAAAGTCATCCCTCTAAATTTCTCCACAATGACACCCTACTTCTTGAGTCTTATTATGCTGGCTGACCTTCTCCAAAGGTCTGTAATTTCGTCCATTCTAAGCTTTTTCTAGCAGTAAAGGAAATTTCATATCTTAACTATGGGTCTTACTTTCTAACCGTTATCTAATTTTGCTGGGTGTTTTTTTATTAGGTGGTCTCTCCTAGGTAGTCCTGACCCAGTCAGATCCAGTGCTGAAGAAACCAGGAGAATCCCATAAATTGGCTTGCTCTGTGACTGGATTTAATATTAACAGTTATTACAGCTGTCTATTAATGTGCTTCTTGGGGATCTTTTTCAGGAAATTAAATGTAGAATAGAAAAGAGAAGATCAAATTCCTCACTCGGTTTCAAGCACACTGTTCACAGTTGTGCTGGTTAGTGCTTTTGGACTTCAGTTGCTAGTAGCTTGGGCTGGTCGATGCAATATGGCCAGCCTTTCTTCTGTCAGGTTAGAAGGCTTTCCCCAAGTCAAACAAAACAGCCGCCGCCATTCCAGAATTGCTGGAGCACCCTTCTATCTTTGTCGCCTCTCCAGGGCAACTTAGACCCACTTAGGGTCCTCAGGCAGGGAGAAATTAGCTGCGGGAGTGCAGAGAATCTGCAACCCTGCGACTTATCACTACCGCGTAAAACTGGAAGTTTTTGGTTTGTTGGTTTGTGAAATTTTACGGATGCTACACGTGACTATATCTCCCAATTGTTGCAATATTACATTTTACCTGGAAATGCTTTCTCATTCATAAAATCGGCATTGATCTGCATAAATCTGAACCTAAAGAAAGGGAATGCTACAAAATATATCACACTAGCAGCAAAAGGGAAATTAAATATCAAATACCAATTATGCAAGTAGGTAGTTGTTTATTGTCCATTCAAAGTTATGACAACTTTAGAAAGAATTTTTAAAGCACATAAAGCACTTCCAGCCATCACATAATATCAAATTGCCCCCCTCTTTTCTTGAGGTCATATAACCACATTTCAGGTACTTGGAATCTACCTTGTATTTAGAGCCAATTGCAACATATGGCAGTCACACAAACGTTTGCAATTTTTTTGCCGATCTCTGACTTTTTTTGCAAGTGTCAGGGGAAAAAAATGCCCTTTTGAAACAATGGATTTGCTTAAGACCTAAAAGAGCTAATGTTACCAAACATGAAAAATAATGGTTGAAAATGTGTCCAGTCATGTGGTTGCTTCTACTTATGACAGCAATAATTTATAGCCAAAATTCTGGCCAAATTGTCCTACCTCAAGGACTGCTTGTAACCAGATACACTCCTTGTGAAAAATATTCTGCAGTAAATTTCAATACATTTCTGGACATCATCTCATATTTATACAGGTCCCGAAAAGATTTATGCAAAGCCAACATGACTTTCACTTCCTATTTAAACTCACAGTCACCTTCTTCAGGCTCATCTCAAAACTCATCTCTCTAAACTTCTTCACAATGACTTCCCACTTTTTAATTCTTATCATGCTGATTATCTTCCCCAAAGGTTTGTACTTTGGTCCATGTAAAGTTTTTTCTAGAACTCAAGGAAATGTCATATATTAACTGTGGATCTTACTTTCTAACCATTACCCAATTGTGCTTTGTCTTTTCTCATTAGGTGGCCTCTCCCAGATAGTCTTGACCCAGTCAGATCCAGTGCTGAAGAAACCCGGAGAAGCCCATAAATTGACTTGCACTGTCACTGGGTTCAATGTTAATAGCTATTACATGGGTTGGATCAGACAGAAACCTGGCCAAGGACTGGAATGGCTTGTATATTATCTCTCATCTAGTAGCAACTATTATTCACCAACAATCCAAGGACGGTTTACTGCCTCCAAAGACAGTTCCAACTTCTATCTGCAAATGAACAACCTAAAAGCTGAGGACACGGCTGTCTATTACTGTGCAAGAGACACAGTGAAATAGATCTTAAGGGATCTCCTACAAAAACCTTTCCTTTAATTACTGAAATGTCTCCAGAGGCGGCACCAGAGAACCACAGAATGAGTTGTCTACCATCTGGAACAGAATCAGCCAAGCCAAGAAGAGATGGAAATGAAAAGGCAAAACAAAAATAGCCCAAAAGATAATATTACTCCATATTTAATGTGGCTGAACATCTTTCACTTACTGATTTCTAACAAATTTGCTCTGGTGTCCACCTCCTCCTCTTCTTCTTTTCTTCTTTCTTCTTTTTTTTCTTCCTTTGCCAGATGATATCTCCAAGTCTGCTGTTTCCCTCTTCGAGGATTCATTTCAGAAGGATCCCTGGCATTTCTTCCATGAGAAGCCATATTTGTCATTAAATGTTTTGACTGGTATGGGATTTCGTCTCCTGCTGTTTTCCCAAGTCAAGTTATACTTTGAAAACATACAGTGGACATAACCAATATAAAGAAGAGACAGGCAGCTGTGAACTATAGCTCTCTTTTCTCAATATAAAAACCAACCAACCAACCAAACAAACAAACAAACCAAAAAATCTGAAATAGCAAAATCTTTCCAGTCTGATCCTGCTATACTTCTCATCCTCCTTACACCCCAGGGAAATGGGGGGAGGGGGGTACTTGTCTGAATATTTGATGACCGATCCTGATCCTCAAAATACCTTTCAGCTCCATTTCCCATTGTGACAGGTTTTGTCTAATTCTATCAAAGTGAGCTTTGCACTGATATTTTCATTGCCTCTTCTTTGCAAATTTACCTTATTTTTGGATTAAGTGACTCCATCCGTATCCAGTTGTTCTCAGACCTCCAAGTTAGACAGATTAGGAAACCAAAGTCATGTAGAACAATATTGGTTTTGTTAGAAGGATATAGCAATAGTGTCTTTCAAATCCCAATGCTTTTGCCCCACCCTCCTTTTAGCTTTGTGAGATGGAGAGGGGTGGGTTTGCCTGAGATGTTTTCTCAGGTAACACTTCTGGAACTAGACTCAGGTTCTTTTCTCTGACTCTTATCCTGTTAGTAGCTCCTCTTCCTAAAATTCAAGACCATTTCCTTCACCCTCTGCAGTTGGATTACTGTATAGTACTCTGCCTGGGACAGCCCTTGAAGTTGATTTCTAATCTGAATTGCTCCAGATTGGAGAGGGATGGGAAGTTTGGGCAATATAAAACATCTAAAATCTTGGTTGCACTGACTACTACTTCTAAGTGACAAAAAGTTGTTTGAATTCTTTCCAGTCAAGCAGATGCTTCTACAGTATTGACTTACTACCAAAATTATGGTCAAAATTGTGGTCAAAAGGTGAGGACTGCCTGCATTCAGATACACTCCATTTTCTTTGTGGAAAAAAAATAGTCTACTAGATTTCTGTACACTCCTGGACTTCATCTCATATTTATACAGGTCTCAGAAGAATTTATGCAAAACCAAGATGACTTTCACTTCCTATTTAAACACTCATTATCCTTCTTCAGGCTACCTCAAGGTGCAAAGTCATCCCTCTAAATTTCTCCACAATGACACCCTACTTTTTGAGTCTCATTATGCTGGCTGCCTTCTCCAAAGGTCTATAATTTGGTCCATACTAAGCTTTTTCCAGCACTAAAGGAAATTTCATATCTTAATTGTGGCTCTTACTTTCTAACTGTTACCCAATTGTGTGTTGTCTTTTCTCATTAGGAGGCCTCTCCCAGGTAGTCCTGACCCAGTCAGATCCAGTGCTGAAGAAACCCGGAGAAGCCCATAAACTGACTTGCGCTGTCACTGGATTCGATGTTAACAACTACAATATGTATTGGATCAGACAGAAACCTGACCAAGGACTGGAATGGATTGTTTACTATTATTCATCTAGTAGCAATGCTTATTCACCAACAATCCAAGGACGATTTACTGCCTCCAAAGACAGTTCCAACTTCTATCTGCAAATGAACAACCTAAAAGCTGAGGACACGGCTGTCTATTACTGTGCAAGAGACACAGTGAAATAGATCTTAAGGGATCTCCTGCAAAAACCTTTCCTTTAATTACTGAAATGTCTCCAGAGGCGGCACCAGAGAACCACAGAATGAGTTGTCTACCATCTGAAACAGAATCAGCCAAGCCAAGAATAGATGGAAATGAAAAGGCAAAACAAAAATAGCCCAAAAGATAATATTACTCCATAGTTAATGTGGCTGAACATCTTTCACTTATTGATTTCTAACAAATTGGCTCTGGTGCTCTCCTCCTCCTCTTCTTCTTTTCTTCTTTCTTCTTTCTTTTTCTATCTTTGCTAGAAGACATCTCCAAGTCTGCTGTTTTCCTCTTCAAGGATTCATTTCAGAAGCATTCCTAGCATTTCTTCCATGAGAAGCCATATTTGTCATTAAATGTTTCGACTGGTATGGGATTTCGTCTCCTGCTGTTTTCCCAAGTCAAGATATATTTTGAAAAGATACAGTGACATAACCAATATAAAGAAGAGCCAGGCAGCTGTGAATTATAGCTCTCTTTTCTCAATGTAAAAACAAAACAAAGAAGCAAACAAACAAACAAAAAAACTGAAATAGCAGAATCTTCCCAAAATGATCCTGCTGTACTTCTCATCCTCCTTACACCCTAGGGAAACAGGGGGGTACTTCTCTGAATTGTTTTCTGAATATTTGATGATCAATCCTGATCCTCAAAATACCTTTCAGCTCCATTTCCCATTGTGACAGGTTTTGTCTAATTCTATCAAAGTGACATTTGCACTGATATTTTCATTGCCTCTTCTTTACAAATTTACCTTATTTTTGGATTAAGTGACTCCATCCGTATCCAGTTGTTCTCAGACCTCCAAGTTAGACAGATTAGGAAACCAAAGCCATGTAGAACAATATTGGTTTTGTTAGAAGGATATAGCAATAGTGTCTTTCAAATCCTAAAGCTTTTGCCCCACCCTCCTTTTAGCTTTGTGAGATGGAGGGGATGGGTTTGCCTGAGATGTTTTCTCAGGTGACACTTCTGAACCCAGACTAAGGTTTCTTTTCTCTGATTCTTATCCTGTTAGTAGCTCCTCTTCCTACCCTTCAAGACCATTTCCTTCACCCTCTGCAGTTGGATTACTGTATAGTACTCTGCCTGGGACAGCCCTTGAATTTCTAATCTGAATTGCTCCAGAATGGAGAGGGATGGGAAGTTTGGGCAATATAAAACATCTGATCTCTGACTACCACTTCTAAGTGACCAAATGTTGTTTGAATTGTTTCCAGTCAAGCAGATGCTTCTACTTATGACAGCATTGACTTACTACCAAAATTATGGTCCAAATTGTGGTCAAAAGATGAGGACTGCCTGCATTCAGATACACTCCATCTTTTTTGTGAAAAAAAAATAGTCTACTAGATTTCTATACACTCCTGGACTTCATCTCATATTTATACAGGTCTCAGCAAATTTTATGCAAAACCAAGATGACTTTCATTTCCTATTTAAACACTCATTATCCTTCTTCAGGTGCCTCAAGGTGCAAAGGTCATCCCTCTAAATTTCTCCACAATGACACCCTACTTCTTGAGTCTCATTATGCTGGCTGCCTTCTCCAAAGGTCTATAATTTGGTCCATATTAAGCTTTTTCCAGCACTAAAGGAAATTTCATATCTTAATTACGGCTCTTACTTTTTAACTGTTACCCAATTGTGTGTTGTCTTTTCTCATTAGGAGGCCTCTCCCAGGTAGTCCTGACCCAGTCAGATCCAGTGCTGAAGAAACCCGGAGAAGCCCATAAACTGACTTGCGCTGTCACTGGATTCGATGTTAACAGCTACAATATGTATTGGATCAGACAGAAACCTGGCCAAGGACTGGAATGGATTGTTTACTATTATTCATCTAGTGACAATGCTTATTCGCCAACAATCCAAGGACGATTTACTGCCTCCAAGGACAGTCCCAACTTCTATCTGCAAATGAACAACCTAAAAGCTGAGGACACGGCTGTCTATTACTGTGCAGGAGACACAGTGAAATAGATCTTAAGGGATCTCATGCAAAAACCTTTCCTTTAATTACTGAAATGTCTCCAGAGGCGGCACCAGAGAACCACAAAATGAGTTGTCTACCATCTGGAAGAGAATCACCCAAGCCAAGAAGAGATGGAAATGAAAAGGCAAAACAAAAATAGCCCAAAAGATAATATTACTCCATATTTAATGTGGCTGAACATCTTTCACTTATTGATTTCTAACAAATTTGCTCTGGTGTCCTCCTCCTCCTCTTCTTCTTTTCTTCTTTCTTCTTTCTTCTTTCTTTTTCTATCTTTGCCAGAAGACATCTCCATGTCTGCTGTTTCCCTCTTCAAGGATTCATTTCAGAAGGATTCCTGGCATTTCTTCCATGAGAAGCCATATTTGTCATTAAATGTTTTGATTGGTATGGGATTTCCTCTCCTGCTGTTTTCCCAAGTCAAGATATATTTTGAAAAGATACAGTGGACATAACCAATATAAAGAAGAGCCAGGTAGCTGTGAATTATAGCTCTCTTTTCTCAATATAAAAACCAACCAACCAACAAACAAACAAACCAAAAAAACTGAAATAGCAAAATCTTTCCAGTCTGATCCTGCTATACTTCTCATCCTCCTTACACCCCAGGGAAACAGGGGGGTGCTTGTCTGAATTGTTTTCTGAATATTTGATGATCAATCCTGATCCTCAAAATACCTTTCAGCTCCATTTCCCATTGTGACAGGTTTTGTCTAATTCTATCAAAGTGAGCTTTGCACTGATATTTTCATTGCCTCTTCTTTGCAAATTTACCTTATTTTTGGATTAAGTGACTCCATCCGTATCCAGTTGTTCTCAGACCTCCAAGTTAGACAGATTAGGAAACCAAAGTCATGTAGAACAATATTGGTTTTGTTAGAAGGATATAGCAATAGTGTCTTTCAAATCCCAATGCTTTTGCCCCACCCTCCTTTTAGCTTTGTGAGATGGAGAGGGGTGGGTTTGCCTGAGATGTTTTCTCAGGTGACACTTCTGGAACTAGACTCAGGTTCTTTTCTCTGACTCTTATCCTGTTTGTAGCTCCTCTTCCTAAAATTCAAGACCATTTCCTTCACCCTCTGCAGTTGGATTACTGTATAGTACTCTGCCTGGGACAGCCCTTGAAGTTGATTTCTAATCTGAATTGCTCCAGATTGGAGAGGGATGGGAAGTTTGGGCAATATAAAACATCTGATCTCTGACTACCACTTCTAAGTGACCAAATGTTGTTTGAATTCTTTCCAGTCAAGCAGATGCTTCTACAGTATTGACTTACTACCAAAATTATGGTCAAAATTGTGGTCAAAAGGTGAGGACTGCCTGCATTCAGATACACTCCATTTTCTTTGTGGAAAAAAAATAGTCTACTAGATTTCTGTACACTCCTGGACTTCATCTCATATTTATACAGGTCTCAGAAGAATTTATGCAAAACCAAGATGACTTTCACTTCCTATTTAAACACTCATTATCCTTCTTCAGGCTACCTCAAGGTGCAAAGTCATCCCTCTAAATTTCTCCACAATGACACCCTACTTTTTGAGTCTCATTATGCTGGCTGCCTTCTCCAAAGGTCTATAATTTGGTCCATACTAAGCTTTTTCCAGCACTAAAGGAAATTTCATATCTTAATTGTGGCTCTTACTTTCTAACTGTTACCCAATTGTGTGTTGTCTTTTCTCATTAGGAGGCCTCTCCCAGGTAGTCCTGACCCAGTCAGATCCAGTGCTGAAGAAACCCGGAGAAGCCCATAAACTGACTTGCGCTGTCACTGGATTCGATGTTAACAACTACAATATGTATTGGATCAGACAGAAACCTGACCAAGGACTGGAATGGATTGTTTACTATTATTCATCTAGTAGCAATGCTTATTCACCAACAATCCAAGGACGATTTACTGCCTCCAAAGACAGTTCCAACTTCTATCTGCAAATGAACAACCTAAAAGCTGAGGACACGGCTGTCTATTACTGTGCAAGAGACACAGTGAAATAGATCTTAAGGGATCTCCTGCAAAAACCTTTCCTTTAATTACTGAAATGTCTCCAGAGGCGGCACCAGAGAACCACAGAATGAGTTGTCTACCATCTGAAACAGAATCAGCCAAGCCAAGAATAGATGGAAATGAAAAGGCAAAACAAAAATAGCCCAAAAGATAATATTACTCCATAGTTAATGTGGCTGAACATCTTTCACTTATTGATTTCTAACAAATTGGCTCTGGTGCTCTCCTCCTCCTCTTCTTCTTTTCTTCTTTCTTCTTTCTTTTTCTATCTTTGCTAGAAGACATCTCCAAGTCTGCTGTTTTCCTCTTCAAGGATTCATTTCAGAAGCATTCCTAGCATTTCTTCCATGAGAAGCCATATTTGTCATTAAATGTTTCGACTGGTATGGGATTTCGTCTCCTGCTGTTTTCCCAAGTCAAGATATATTTTGAAAAGATACAGTGACATAACCAATATAAAGAAGAGCCAGGCAGCTGTGAATTATAGCTCTCTTTTCTCAATGTAAAAACAAAACAAAGAAGCAAACAAACAAACAAAAAAACTGAAATAGCAGAATCTTCCCAAAATGATCCTGCTATACTTCTCATCCTCCTTACACCCTAGGGAAACAGGGGGGTACTTCTCTGAATTGTTTTCTGAATATTTGATGATCAATCCTGATCCTCAAAATACCTTTCAGCTCCATTTCCCATTGTGACAGGTTTTGTCTAATTCTATCAAAGTGACATTTGCACTGATATTTTCATTGCCTCTTCTTTACAAATTTACCTTATTTTTGGATTAAGTGACTCCATCCGTATCCAGTTGTTCTCAGACCTCCAAGTTAGACAGATTAGGAAACCAAAGCCATGTAGAACAATATTGGTTTTGTTAGAAGGATATAGCAATAGTGTCTTTCAAATCCTAAAGCTTTTGCCCCACCCTCCTTTTAGCTTTGTGAGATGGAGGGGATGGGTTTGCCTGAGATGTTTTCTCAGGTGACACTTCTGAACCCAGACTAAGGTTTCTTTTCTCTGATTCTTATCCTGTTAGTAGCTCCTCTTCCTACCCTTCAAGACCATTTCCTTCACCCTCTGCAGTTGGATTACTGTATAGTACTCTGCCTGGGACAGCCCTTGAATTTCTAATCTGAATTGCTCCAGAATGGAGAGGGATGGGAAGTTTGGGCAATATAAAACATCTGATCTCTGACTACCACTTCTAAGTGACCAAATGTTGTTTGAATTCTTTCCAGTCAAGCAGATACTTCTACTTACGACAGCATTGACTTACTACCAAAATTATGGTCCAAATTATGGTCAAAAGGTGAGGACTGCCTGCATTCAGATACACTCCACCTTTTTTGTGAAAAAAAAATAGTCTACTAGATTTCTAAACAGTCCTGGACTTCATCTCAAATTTATACAGGTCTCAGCAAATTTTATGCAAAACCAAGATGACTTTCACTTCCTATTTAAACACTCATTATCCTTCTTCAGGCTACCTCAAGGTGCAAAAGTCATCCCTCTAAATTTCTCCACAATGACACCCTACTTCTTGAGTCTCATTATGCTGGCTGCCTTCTCCAAAGGTCTGTAATTTGGTCCATATTAAGCTTTTTCCAGCACTAAGGGAAATTTCATATCTTAATTATAGCTCTTACTTTCTAACTGTTACCCAATTGTGTGTTGTCTTTTCTCATTAGGAGGCCTCTCCCAGGGAGTTCTGACCCAGTCAGATCCAGTGCTGAAGAAACCCGGAGAAGCCCATAAACTAACTTGCGCTGTCACAGGATTCAATGTTAACAGCTACTGGATGAGTTGGATCAGACAGAAACCTGGCCAAGGACTGGAATCGCTTGTATATCATCTCTCATCTAGTAGCAACTATTATTCGCCAACAATCCAAGGACGATTTACTGCCTCCAAAGACAGTTCCAACTTCTATCTGCAAATGAACAACCTAAAAGCTGAGGACACAGCTGTCTATTACTGTGCAAGAGACACAGTGAAATAGATCTTAAGGGATCTCCTGCAAAAACCTTTCCTTTAATTACTGAAATGTCTCCAGAGGCGGCACCAGAGAACCACAAAATGAGTTCTCTATCATCTGGAACAGAATCAGCCAAGCCAAGAAGAGATGGAAATGAAAAGGCAAAACAAAAATAGCCCAAAAGATAATATTACTCCATATTTAATGTGGCTGAACATCTTTCACTTATTGATTTCTAACAAATTTGCTCTGGTGCCCTCCTCCTCCTCTTCTTCTTTTCTTCTTTGTTCTTTCTTTTTCTATCTTTGCCAGAAGACATCTCCAAGTCTGCTGTTTCCCTCTTCAAGGATTCATTTCAGAAGGATCCCTGGGATTTCTTCCATGAGAACCCATTTTTGTCATTAAATGTTTTGACTGGTATGGGATTTCCTCTCCTGCTGTTTTCCCAAGTCAAGTTATACTTTGAAAAGATAAAGTGGACATAACCAATATAAAAAAGAGACAGGCAGCTGTGAACTATAGCTCTCTATAGTTCACAGCTGCCAGAATGGAGAGGATGGGAAGTTTGGGCAATATAAAACATCTGAAATCTTGGTTTCACTGACTACCACTTCTAAGTGACCAAATGTTGTTTGAATTGTTTCCAGTCAAGCGGATGCTTCTACTTATGACAGCATTGACTTACTACCAAAATTATGGTCCAAATTGTGGTCAAAGGTTGGGGACTGCCTGCATTCAGATACACTCCATCTTCTTTGTGAAAAAAAAATTAGTCTACTAGATTTCTATACACTCCTGGACTTCATCTCATATTTATACAGGTCTCAGCAGAATTTATGCAAAACCAAGATGACTTTCACTTCCTATTTAAACACTCATTATCCTTCTTCAGGCTACCTCAAGGTGCAAAAGTCATCCCTCTAAATTTCTCCACAATGACACCCTACTTTTTGAGTCTCATTATGCTGGCTGCCTTCTCCAAAGGTCTCTAATTTGGTCCATACTAAGCTTTTTCCAGCACTAAAGGAAATTTCATATCTTAATTATGGCTCTTACTTTCTAACTGTTACCCAATTGTGTGTTGTCTTTTCTCATTAGGAGTCCTCTCCCAGGTAGTCCTGACCCAGTCAGATCCAGTGCTGAAGAAACCCGGAGAAGCCCATAAACTGACTTGCGCTGTCACTGGATTCGATGTTAACAGCTACACTATGTATTGGATCAGACAGAAACCTGGCCAAGGGCTGGAATGGATTGTTTACTATTATTCATCTAGTAGCAATGCTTATTCGCCAACAATCCAAGGACGATTTACTGCCTCCAAGGACAGTTCCAACTTCTATCTGCAAATGAACAACCTAAAAGCTGAGGACACGGCTGTCTATTACTGTGCAAGAGACACAGTGAAATAGATCTTAAGGGATCTCAAGCAAAAACCTTTCTTTAAATAACAAGTGAAATGTCTCGTGAGGGATTCACATGAGTTGTGAATCATCTGAAACAAAATCACCCAGGCAGAAAAGAGATGAAACAAAAAGGCGAAACAATTATACTCCCAAAGATATTATTACTCCATATTTATTGTGGTTGAATATCTTTCACTTATTTGTTTCTAAATATTTTGCTGTGGTTTCAGGTTCTTCTTCTGCCAGGGCCAGATGACACCTGAAAATGTCTTCCCTTCCCTCTTCAGGGATTCAGTTCAGAAAGATTCCTGGGATTTCTTCCATGAAAGGCCAAATTCTCCATTAGGTGTTTTGAATTGTATGGAATTTCATGTCCTGCTGTTTTTCTCAAATCAAGTTCTATTTTGAGAATATCTGCTAGACCCAACAAAGTATAAACTAAAGGCAGGCAGTGTGAATTCTAGCTCTTTTTTAGGATTGCAAAGGAAAGAGTCAGCTAAAATAGCACAATCTTGCAAATCGGATTCTGCTGTACTTCCCATCATTCTTATACCTCAATCAATCCGCAGGGTAGTTGTCTGAATTGTCTCTTAATATTATCTGGCAATTCTGGTCCTCAAAATATGTTTTGGCTCCCTTTTTGTGTAATTCTGTCAAAGTCATCTTTGCATTTACATTTGCATTGTTTCTTCTTTGCAAACTGTTTTCATTTCAGGATCAAGTGACTCCATCAGCTTCCAGTTGTTGTCAGACCTTCAAGCTAGACCAGACTTGGAAACCAAAGCCATATAGAGCAATATGGATGTTATTATGAAGACATGGTAGTAGTGCCTTTCAAGCCTCAATGTGCTTGCCCCATCTTTCTTTCTGACCCAAACTCAGGTTTTTTTTCTCCCACTGTTATCCTGGTAGTGGCTCTTTCTCTTTTCCCGCAGGACCATTTCCATAGCCATCTGAAGTTGGATTACTGTAAAGTACTCTGCCTGGGACTGCTTTGGCAGATGATTTCTAATCTGCATCAGTCGAGAATGTGGATGGATAGACAGTTTGGGTGTTATAAAACTTCTAATCTATGAGTTGTCTGAAATCCCACTTCACAGTGCTGGTTGTCAGCTATACATCTCTACATGCCATAGGGCCAGTTTACCTGCATGGCTTCATTCTCTCTGATTATTTCTTAATGCTTGGTAGATGTGGTCATGAAGGCATTCTATAGGATGGGACCTATGCAGGATGGGACCAATCTATAAAAGAAAGGATCAGATCATTGATGTGTGGCACCTTTGCTTATATTCACATGGAAAGGGTAACGTTGGTTACATAATAGATCTAATAGGTTTAGGGATGCATCACAAATTTGGAGATAATGAGTACTCCCAGTTACAATTTCACTTATTTGAGATTATTTTTATTTTATGGTCACTCCTGAAAGTAAGCCTCCAAAAACATTAGGTGTTGGTATTTTTGCTCCAGAATATTCTTACTTTTTCTCTTCCCCCACATTAGGCCAAAAGGTAAACTGATTCATGCTGATATGACTGAACTGTCTACAAATAAAATTTCATCAGGAACCTCACACAGACCCAAGATTTCAATTTCTGTCCATATCAGTTTATCAAAAGGAAGAGACAGTTGCTCATGAGCCAACCTTGTAACAAAATCAGGTTTTTAGACTGAATTTATTTTTCTACAGTCAATATAGGAGGAGCTTATGCAAAACTTTATGAGACACAGTGCTGAAGCTTTGCTTCAAAATAAATCCATTCAGTATGAGATTCTCATTTATTCTGAAATTCAAAGACCTTCCTAAATGACCACCATGGCATTATGGTTCTTTGCATTTTGTTTTACAGCACTTCCAAGATGTAAGAATATTTAACAGAAAATTAGAAGATCTTTATTTGGTCGGTGATGTTGTTCACTATTTGCAATCCTTTCTCTTTTTTTCAAGGGGTCTTCTCGGAGATTCAGCTTGTAGAATCTGGGCCAGGATTGGTGAGACCTGGAAGTCAACTCAACCTAGTTTGTAAAGTCACAGGTTTCTCCATTGCTACTTCTTCATCTTATGCTTGGGATTGGGTCAGGCAACCACCTGGGAAAGGTCTCAAATGGCTTGCAGCCATAAATGTCAATAATGGAGGCAAGTGGTATGGAAACTCTGTAAAAGGTCGTGCCACCATTTCTGCAGATCAGTCCAGGAACGAGTTCTCCCTCCAGCTGAATTCAGTCTTAGCTGCAGACTCATCTGTGTATTTCTGTGCCCGAGAATACACATTGAAACAACCTCTATTTGGACTCTGTACAAAAAAAGAGGAAATCATTTTCATGAAGTGTAATGCCAAGCAGATGGAGAGGGGGAGAGAGAAGGAGGAGGAGGAGGAGAGAAAGAGATAGATAGATAGATAGATAGATAGATAGATAGATAGATAGATAGATAGATAGATAGATAGATAGATAGACAGACAGACAGAAATATCATATAGATGTTCTGGAAGAAGATGACTAGATGATTCAATTATTGAAGAGATACTTATCTTCATTACCATCACCACTTTTATTGTTTTGCATGCAAGGCAAATAGGAAGCTGTTTAGCCTGCAAAACTCCACCTGTTCTGTCCTTCCTCTTTATTCTGAAAAAGATGGGAGGACACTGAATGGCCATCATTGGAACTGGACAAAGCATCTAGGATCTTCATTACAGAAGTTTTAGGAAGTCTTTGTATTTAAGTTAGTCTGTGATATTTCCTTGTCCAACTTGTTCAAATTTGTCCCAAGCAAGGGATTTAAAGTGGAGGAAGGGGTGTCATTAGCTTATTCAAAGATACTCACTTTAAATAAGCTTAAGATAATTTACCATACAACAGCAAATAAGCTTCAAAATCTCCCGATTTCCCCCTTTCCCTCAAAAAGGATCTAGGAATTCTATCGATGGGGCTGCTATCACTTCCCAACTTTTGCCAAAATAATTGAATGAATGTATCAATGGAGTTACCAGGAATTGACTTCACCTTCTTATATAACAGATGTAAACATGTGTAACGTCATGGAAACCAGAAGGAGCTGATCTGAAAGACTTCACAGTCTTTGTTCAAGAATTAAAGCAACTTTTCCACTATTTTAAATGATTGTAGTTAGTTTCAGAAATACATAGATAAACCCTGATCATTTTGTGTGACAAATCCTATTAAACCTGTTCTCAGTCATGTATTTCTTCTAGACCTTGGGTGTCAAACACACGACATCATGTGATATGTCGTGACATATTGCAACTTTTTCCCCATTGCCGGCAATGGGGTGGGCATGGTTTTAGCTTCACACATCCAGCCCATGGGCCCGTAGTTTGACAATCCTGTTCTAGACAGTCATGACTTACTACCAAGTTTGTGGTGAAATTGTAGTCATAAGTTTACTTTTACCCAGATACATTCCATCATCTTTTTGAAAGGTATTCTCTACTAAATTCAATACATTTCTGGACTTCATTTCATATTTATATTAGTCCGAGCAAGATTTATGCAAAGCCAACATTACTTTCACTTCCTATTTAAACTCACAGTGACCTTCTTCAGGCTCATCTCAAAACTCATCTCTCTAAACCTCTTCACAATGGCAATCCACTTCTTAATTCTCATCGTGCTGGTTGCCTTCATCAAAGGTTTGTAGTTTGGTCCATGTTAAGCTTTTTCTAGCATTTAAGGAAATTTCATATCTTAACTATGGATCTTACTTTCTAACCCTTATCCAATTATGCTTGGTGTTTTTTCATTAGATGGCCTCTCCCAGATAGTCTTGACCCAGTCAGATCCAGTGCTGAAGAAACCAGGAGAATCCCATAAACTGACTTGCGCTGTCACTGGATTCAATGTTAACAGCTATTACATGGGTTGGATCAGACAGAAACCTGGCCAAGGACTGGAATGGCTTGTTTACTATTACACATCTAGTAGCAACTATTATTCACCAACAATCCAAGGACGTTTTACTGCCTCCAAGGACAGTTCTAACTTCTATCTGCAAATGAACAATCTAAAAGCTGATGACTCGGCTGTCTATTATTGTGCAAGAGACACAGTGAAATAGATCTTAAGGGATCTCATGCAAAAACCTTTCCTTTCAGTACTGAAATGTGTCAAGAGGGGACAGCAGAGAACCACAAAATGAGCATCTGGAACAAAATCACTCAGGCAGAGAAGAGATGGAAATGAAAAGACAAAACAAGAATACCCCCAAATAAATTATTGTTCTACACTTAGTGTGGTTGAACATCTTTCACTCAATGGTTGCAGTGGTTTCCTGCAGGTTCTTCTTCCGATGCCAGATGACCTCCCCCCCCCCCAAAATCAAATTCTATTTTGAGGAGATCTGCTAGATAAACTAGCAGGGATGTCAAACTGCTGGCCCATTAGCTGGACGCATCATTCGGAAGGTGCACCCACCCCATTGCCGGCAATGGCAAAACCGTCCCAATGTGTTGTGCAATGTCACGTGATGTCGCAAGTTTGACATGTCTGAACTAAAGGAAGGCTCCGTGAATTCTATCTCTCTTTTGGAATGTTAGAAAAAAAGTCAGCTAAAATTACAAAATGTTGCAAGTCTGACTCAGCTATACTTCCCATACTTCTTATTACTCCAGTGAATCAAGGGGGTAGTTGTCTGAATTGCTTCCGAATATTATCTGGTGATTCTGGACGTCCAAAACTGCTTCAGATGCCTTTTTCCTTTGTAACAATGATGGTGTAATTTTGTCAAAGCATTGATGGTTGCATGGCTTGGTCTTGGCGGCAAACCAAACTTATGTCTGAATCACGTGACTCATACCTTATTTAACATCCACTTGTTAAACTCCAGCCTAGAACAGATGAGGAAACAGAACCCATACATAAAGCAACAGTATTTTCATTAGAAAGATACAGTAATAGAGTCTTCATCTCTGAATGCACTTTCCTCTTCCTCCTTTTACATTGTAAGAATGAGGGAGCGTCTTGTAAGACGTTTTCTCAGGTGACCCTTCCTGCACACACTCAAGTCCTTTCCTCTGATTGTTGTTCTGGCAGAGGCTGCTCTTGAAAGTGATTTTTAATCTGCATTGTTTGAGAATTTAGAGGGATGTGCAGTTTGAACATTATGAAATTTCTAATGTGCCAGTTGCACTAGCTTCCACTTTCAAAGCACTAGTTATTACCCATAATGCCGTACAATAAGATTACTTTCCTTACTTCATTGTCTTTGATTGTCGCTTAATGCCCACCTGAACTGACAGTGAAGGCCTGCTCCAGGACGGGACCTAGATTCTAGTATTTGTGTCACAACTTCAACCTAATGGAACAACACTCCCCAGGATATCTGAATGGCCCTAATTTCATTGACATTGTAAGAAATAAACATGAAAGCCAGAATTTTCCCACAGAATTTTGGTTCTAAGGATTAAATGAGTCTGTTCTTAATTACTTAATATTCACATCAAGTTTTAGACTAGGAGGAAAATGATTTTGGATCTCATGATTAGTATTGTTGTATCTTGAAAAAGGCTGAGAAGCTAAACATTCTTTATTTTTGGGTTAGAGAATTAGCAGGATTCCTAGGGCCCAGTTGTGAATTTAAATTAATTTTTTACTTTATCTGCAAGCATTAGACAAGGTTTGTCTGCACAGACTGAGTTACATTTTATTTCTTCAATTAAATTAAAAATTTCATTGATTTTTAAAGAAAATGACAAAACATATGAATGTAATATTAGGCAGAGCTTTTTTTTTGTCATTGAACGCACGGAATGGCGTTCCGGCACCTTTTTTCAACGGAATTTGTGGAACTAAAAAAAGTTCAGTCAGACCTTCCAACTTCTTCTGAGAAAAAATAAGATCTCACAAGGAGTTGGAAGGTCTGACTCAATTTTTCCGTTTCCCTGCAGCAGAAGTTTAAGGAACAAATCCCTAATTCTCTTTCCTAATTTAGGAGCATGAAAAATGCTGTATACATCACTTTAACATTATTGATTAGGATCACCTTTGTATTTTTTCACCCCAAATTCTTTATATTTTAAACAGAAAAACTCCAGGAATTGGATGAACTAGGAAACAATCCCACTTGTCCATTCTCCTCTATTTCTTTAGAAAAAGACTGTAGTGTTGTTTAATGCATATCCTTCCCTTTTGTTGAAAACCAATCTATAAAAACATGATCAGTTCCTCAATGGGTTCTATATTTACTTATTTTCTTTTCATAAGGAAATAGATATGTTGGGTAACCAGTAGATGTGGTCTGTTTAGAGATGCATCACAAATATGGGAGATATTGAGTTTTCCTAGTCATAACTTCTCTTATTTGTGAATGTTTTCTATGAACACCCCTCAATGTAATTTTTTTTAAAGTTCTTTGTATTTTTTCTCTATTATATTTTTACTTTCTTCCCTTTCATAAATTAAGCATACAACAGCATGACAACAGAATAGAATGGGATACAATGGGATGGAGTGGGAAAGGATGGAATGGAACTGGAGAGAAGAGGAGAGGAGAGGAGAGGAGAGGAGAAGAGAAGAGAAGAGAAGAGAAGAGAAGAGAAGAGAAGAGAAGAGAAGAGAAGAGAAGAGAAGAGAAGAGAAGAGAAAAGCAACACAACCAGGAAAGGACTGGACAAGACAGGATAGGATAAGATAGGATAGGATAGGATAGGATAGGATAGGATAGGATAGGGTAGGGTAGGGTAGGGTAGGGTAGGGTAGGATAGGGTAAGATAGGATAGAGTAGGGTAGGGTAGGATAGGGTCAGAACAAAACAGAACAGAACAGAACAGAACAGAATAGAATAGAATAGAATAGAATAGAATAGAATAGAATAGAATAGAATAGAATAGAATAGAATAGAATAGAATAGAATAGAATAGAATAGAATATTTGGCTAAGTATGATCAGAAACACAAGCAATTTGTCTTTAATTCAGCAGCTCTCAATGTAGATGAAAGGCAACAGTGTAATAATAATAATAAGAAGAACAACAATAACAACAATAACAATGTTGGAAGGGACTTTGGAAGTCATCTAGTCCAGCCCCCTGCTTAGCCAGGAAACCCTATACCATTTCAGACAAATGGCTGTCCAGTCTCTTCTTAAAAACTTCCAGTGTTGGAACATTCACCCCTTCTGGCGGCAGGTTGTTATAAGTACTGTGAGGATTAGATGCTCAGCAGAGTGATGGCACAAGTGAAAAACTGCCTCTGTGTCTAGTTGTTTTCGCATGTAATGCTATAGGAAAGGGGTGTCAAACTCGCCACATCACACGATGTGTCATGACATATCTTGACTTTTTCCCCATTGCTGGAGCTGGGGTAGGCGTGGTTTTGGTATGATGCATCCAGCCTGCAGGCTGGCAGTTTGACACCCCTGCTATAGAACATGAAGTGTCTGCATGAACGTAATGCCCTATATTCATGCAGACATGAAGTGTCTGCATTTAATATCTCATCAGGGACTTCATGCAGAACTGAGATTTCAATTTCTCTCCATCTCACTTTATCATAAGAAAGACAAAGAGGTCCATGAGCAACTTTGTAACAAATTCAGGTTTTAACACTGAATTTATTTTCCCCCACTCAATAGAGGTGGAACTCATGCAAAGTTTATGAGATGCAATGCTGATGCTTCTCTTCAAAATAAGCCTATCCACTATGAGTTCCTCACTTCCTTTGAAGTTCAAAGATCTCACTGGGACATCCTAGATGGCCATCAGGGCATTGTGGTTCTTTGCATTTTGGTTTACAGTGCTTCCAAGATGTAAGAATATTTAATGAAATATTAGGAGATATTAATTTGGTCAGTGATGTTGTTTATTGATCACAATCCTTTCTGTTTTCCCAAGGGGTCTTCTCAACTGTTCAACTTGTAGAATCTGAACCAGGAATAGTGAGACCTGGAAGTCAACTCAACCTACTTTGTAAAGTCACAGATTTCTCCATTGCTACTTCTTCACAATACGCTTGGCATTGGATCAGGCAACCAAATGGAAAAGGTCTCCAATGGCTTTCAGCCATAAATGTCAATAATGGAGGCAAATGGTATACTAATTCTGTAAAAAGCCGTGCCACCATTTCTGCAGATCAGTCCAGGAACGAGTTCTCCCTCCAGCTGAATTCGGTCATAGCTGAAGATTCATCTGTATATTTCTGTTTCCGAGAGCACACAGCGACATATCTTCTATTTGTGGTCTGTAAAAAACAAGAGAGAGAGAGAGGGGTGGGGGTGGGGGAGAGAAAGGGAGAACTGATAGAACAATGTATAAGTATTTTCTTTTTATAAAATGGGGTTAGTTTTATTAGATCAAAATTTACAGAGTTTCATAGGGAGACACCAGAGGTCTGGTGGGAATAGATGCATACTAATTTTCTTTTCTTTTCTAATATAAGAGGCTGAAAAGTGCTTCAATTTTTAAAGAGTTAGAGTTCTCCATTACCATCACCCCCCCCCTTTTTTTTTGTTTGCAGATAAGAGAAATAGGAAGTTGTTTAGCCTGGAAAACTCCCACCTGTCCTGTCTTTCCTCTTTCTTCTGAAAAAGCAGAGAGGACACTGAATGGCCTTCCTTGGAACTGGACAAAGCCTCTAGGAGCCTCATTGCAGAAGACTTGATATTTTTTGATATTTTTTTCTCTATTATATTTTTACTTCCTTCCCTTCCACAAATTAAGCAAAAACAAAGTATTGATCCATGCTGATATGACAATAGACTAGAGTAGACTAGACTAGACTAGGCTAGGCTAGGCTAGACTAGACTGGACTGGACTGGAATGGGCTGGAATGGACTGGACTGGACTGGACTGGACTGGAATGGAATGGAATGGAATGGAATGGAAGGAAAGGGAAAGGAAGGGAAGGGAATGGAATGGAATGCAATGGAACGCAATGGAACGGAATGGAATAGAATAACAAGAGAGAAGAGAAGAGAAGAGAAGAGAAGAGAAGAGAAGAAATAGGATAGGATAGGATAGGATAGGATAGGATAGGATAGGATAGGATAGGATAGGATAGGATATTTGGCCAAGTGTGATTAGACACATAAAGAATTTGTGTGTGGTTCAGAAGCTCTCAGTGT